TCTTGTCTCCTACCTCCCATGCTGCCAACCTGCAAACGGTTATCCTCAGAAAGCGTCCCAACCTCAACTCTTACCTTCCTCATTCTGCTACTTACTGCCTTTATGATAAAATTGCACCCCTGGCCTAGACCTGCCTAGATCTGGCCACTTCTGTCTACAACAACATGCTGTCATCCTCCCTGGCCACACCTGGTGACAACATGCTGTCATCCTCCCTGGCCACACCTGGCGATAACATGCTGTCATCCTCCCTGGACACACTTTCTCCTCTCTCTATGTGCAGAACCAGGCCTCGCCTGCTACAACCCTGGCAAACAGACGGCACCAGAAGTCTCAAGAGATGCAGCTGAGCTCTTGAGTGAGCATGGCATAAAATGAAATCCTTGCAAGACTTCACACTCTAGAGATCTGCCCTTCCCCAATACAACTCCTGCCTCCACACTGCTAAACAAACCTACTACACCACTCTCGTCAAACCCCTCTCATCCAAACATCATCAATTCCTTTCACCCTTAATTCCTTACTTCGTCCCCCACTGCCTCTACCCACCAACTTGCTTGCTGCCTAGGAGATTGCCAATCATTTCAAAAACAAAATTGACACAATTCGTGATGAGATAGCCAGCATCCAGCTTTCTCCCCCAAACAACACACCAGGTCCAACACTACACTTTCCTTACCACTGAGAAAGTTGCCAAACTCCTTTCCGCTGACCACCTCATAACTTGTCCCCTGACCCTGTCCCCTCACAATTCCTACTCCATCCTAAACTCTCAAATCCACATCTTCTCTCTAACCTTTCCCTCTTCTCCAGCACCTTTACCTCCCCACTCCAACATGCACTGGTCACCCCCATACTTAAAAAAAACCCTCACTGGACCCCACCTGTTTGAATAATTTAGGACCCATCTCCCATCTCCCTGCTCCCGTTTGCCTCCTAACTGAGTGCTTTGTCCACAAAGGTACGAGTTGCTACCTCACTGACAACAACCTTCTTGATCCCCGACAGTCTGGCTTCCACCCACAACATTCCACTGAAACTGCCCTACTAAAACTCACCAACGACCTTCTAACTGCTAAAAGCAATGACCAGCACTCCATACTCATACTCTTCGACCTTTCTGCTGCCTTTGACACAGTTGACCACTCGCTCCTCCTCAACAAACTCCACTCCCTTGGCCTCCATGAGTCTGCTCTTTCCTGGTTCCCCTACCTAACTGTACTTTCAGTGTCACATACAACACCATCTCCTCCTCGTGCAAACCTGGGCAAGAGTGGAGCCTGGGATACACAGGGGCTTGCAATCGGGGGGGGGGGGGGTAATGCCAAAGGGGGGAAGGGTGTGGAAGCAATTTGGGTTGCAGTGTAGCAGGAGTCTGCTTATCAGATTTACACACAGTGGGAGTTATTTACTAAACCTGGAGAGTGCAAAATCTAGTGCAACTCTGCATAGAAACCAGTCAGCTTCCAGGCTTTAATGCCAAAGCCTAATTGAACAAGCTGAAGTTAAAAACTGATTGGCTACTATGCACAGCTGCACTGGTTTTAGAAAATCTCCCCCCCCCCCCCCCCCCCCGCTGTCAGGTCCATACAAAAGGGTTAAAAAAGAACTCCATTAAAATAGTCAGGGACTATTTAGCAACCAGCCACTTTAGGACGATGAACACTTTGGTCAGGAGCATGTAATGTACAATATAGCATAAAGAGTGCATGGGTCAGGAGTATGTAATGTACAACATAATGTATGGAGTGCAGAGGTCAGGATTAGGTAATATACATCATCGTGTATGGAGTGGAGAGGTCAGGGGAGTTTTGGCTAGTGTTTCACTTAATTGCTACATGACCTATGCTCATACCCCCCAAGTTTTTGAAATGGGAACGAGAGACACCTATTAGCTGAAGTTAGAAGCTGATTGGCTACTATGCACAGCTGCACTAGATTCTGAGTGCTCGAGTTTTAGTAAATCTCCCCCAATGTGTGTAAAACCCCCCACCATCAGGTCCGTACAAAAGGGTTAAAATAGAACTCCATTAAAATAGTCAGGGACTATTTAGCAACCTGCCACTTTGGGACGATGAACACTTTGGTCAGCAGCATGTAATGTACAATATAGCATAAACAGTGCATGGGTCAGGAGTATGTAATGAACAACATAATGTATGGAGTGAAGAGGTCAGGAGAGTTTTGGCTGGTGTTCCACTTTATTGCTGCATGACCTATCCTCATACCCCCCAACTTTTTGAAATGGGAACGAGAGACACCTATTAGCAAAAGTATGTAGGAATAGGACACACACCCCCTGCCACGCCCCCTTAACCATTAGCCACCCGGCCTATAGCCGTTTGGCGGCCGCAAAAATGCATTAGCTTTCCGGGGTGTACGCCATTTGGCGTCCTCCCGCACATGCGCAGTTCGCACGGTTGCAGAGCCGCGGAGCGGCGCGATCTATCACCGGCCGTGTACCTCGGACACGGCCGATGACAGATCTGAGTACCGGCCCCTGTTGCCGGTACCATGTGACCTGCTGTGACCAATCACAGCAGGTCACATGACAGTTGTATACAATGGATGGCTTCATTCATGCCATCCATTGTATACTAGTGTCTAGCTGTGAATGGTCACAACAGGTCACATGCAAATATATATTTTTTTTCATACTGTCACCAGTCAGTGTCCCTGATCACCGCCATGCCAGTTATATGATGACACTGAACTGCACTGGTGACAGTATGTAAAAAAAAAAATAGTGAAAATAATTGTTTTTATTTTTTCATTTTCCAAAAAATTATAACAAAAAAAATACAACTTCAAAAAACTCGCCATTCCTCTTATGAAGTACGTCGGACTGTCTACTTTACAAAAAGGGTTATTTGGGGGATATCTGTACTGTTCTGACATTTGGGGGATATCTGTACTGTTCTGACATTCTTGGACCTCAAGAAATTAGATTGGCTGTCAGTACTTCAGGATTGATTAATATTCAGATCTATACCATAGTTTGTGAACTCTATAACTTTCCTACAAACTAAAAAATACATCCTAATTTGGGTTATTTTCACCAAAGACATGTAGCAGAATACATCTCGGCCTAAATTTATGAAGAACAATTATTTATTTGTAAACTTTTATAACAGAAACAAAGAAAAAACTTGGTTTTTTTTCAAAATTTTTGGTCTTTTTTTGTTAATTTAGCAAAAAATAAAAACCCCAGCGGTGATTAAATACCACCAAAAGAAAGCTCTAGTTGTGTGAAGAAAATTATAAAATTTTAGTTTGGGTACAATGTTGTATGACCGCGCAATTGTCATTCAAAGTGTGAGAGCGCTGAAACCTGAAAATTGGCCTGGGCAGGAAGGGGTAAAAGTGCCCGGTATGGAAGTGGTTAAAGGAGAATTATACAAAAAAAAAATTAGTTAAACCCATAAGTGTTTTTTTTTACCACTACTATTCCTTTACACTGGATAAAAGATTTAGCACCGTGAAACACATTTTGAAAGATAAATAGTGCATTTTATATACAACTCTATATATCAGACCGAAATGAGGGACAAATGAGAAATGATGAGGGACAGAGGGACAGTCCCTTGAAATCAGGGACAGTTAGGAGCTATGTATCCTGACCATACATAATAGCACCAGAGTGTGAACCAGCCTATGCTATAAGTCATCGCATTGTGTTTTGGAAAATGATTGAGACCCTTTTGTGCTTCTATATTTTCCAAGACAAAGGGACTGATGACGGAAGTGGCAGCGAGAAGCTTTTGTATTGCCCGTCGGATGCCACTTTGAAGAGCTACAGCTGGTTGTCAGAGCTTCTGGAAGTCTGTTATATCATTAATATCACAAAACTGTCAGCAGACTGAATCAAAGTGCAATTTACTGCACTCCCTTCCTCTTATTGGAGAGGAAATAGCCAAATATACAGGAAAGATGGATGACCCACATCTCTAATAGGCCCGAGGCTAATTATCCAGAGTCTGAGTAGCAGATATTTTCGGAGCAAAATTGGGACACCCCGATGAGATGGAGTTTCATTGTAAGCCTGATGTTCTTTCCTTGTATGTGTATATTTTTTAAAGATCAGCAGTTCTGATCCCTTTAGATGTATGTTTCCACAAGGAATCTGATTTTCTTAAAGGGCAACTCCACTTTCGCATAAAAAATATAGCAAATAAAAAAATAATATTGCTATATATTTGCTACACAAGCTTTTCTTATCAGAACACTGAGAGTGCATCGGGTGATTGTAATAAACCAGACTCTCCCATTCAGAACCAGGCAGAAGGGACATGAAACAAACAGCTGTTTCTTCAGAGCGGAAAAAGGTAGAAATCGGCTACAACGTTGCAGTTGGCATAGATCACCCATAGGGGATTGTTTTTGTGTAAAAACCCATTTATTTAACCACTTCAAGTCTGGACACTTTTAACCCCTTCCTGTCCAGGCCAATTTTCAGCTTTCAGTGCTATCACACTTTAAATGACAATTGCACGGTCATTCAACCCTGTACCCATATGAATTTTTTAGCATTTTGAGACAGATAAAGCTTTATTTTGGTGATATTTTTTTTTTTTTTGCTATGTAAATGAAAAAGTCCAAAAATTTGGAAAAAAAAGTGTTTTTCTTATAAAATTTTGCAAATAAATAATATTTCATCATAAATCTTGGCCAAAATGTATTCCCTTATCTTTTTAGTAAAAATAAATAAATAACCCAAATTAGTTTATAACCCAAAATTATAATTTTTAAACATTTTTTTTCCATTTTTATTTTATTTTTTTTATATTATTATTTATGTTTTTTTTTTTTTTTTACATACTGTCACCCTAGCAGTACAGTGTCACCATGGTGACACTGCACTACTTGTGGGGGGTGATGAAGATTTTTTTTTTACGCTGATAAAAAGGCTGTAAAATTAATAATTTCTCCTTCTCTCTGGCTGCATTCTTGCAGCCATTGAGAACTACTGTGTGAGCTGTAATTGGTCACAGCTTGTCACATGGTACAAGGCTGTTGTGAATAGGCTTGTACCATGTGACCTCTGTGATCATTTACAGATTTAACACGTAGTAAGCAATAATGTCAGAAGCGACATCTTGCTTACTACTCTGCATGTGATCACTGATTGGCCAATCAGTGATCACATGATCGGGACCTCGCACAGAGGTCCCGTCTGACGATCGGTGTTTGCCTGTGTCTGGAGGACACAGCGGGCACCGGATCGCGGGCGCCGGATCGCGGTGCTGCGTGCTACCAGAGAGCACGGACAAGCAGGGGGCGGGGAGGCCATTTAGAAACGGCCACCCGACCCTGCACTGCCACCGTCCGGCTGATTATGTACAACAGCCGGACAGAAGGTGGTTAAAAAGGATTAAATACATTTGGTAAAATATAATACCACTATAACTCTCAGAAGTTTGGGTCCATAAATTATGCCCAAGGACGTCAATGGGTTTGGCTCCTTCCAACACGTTTCATCAAACAATGACATCACAATTTGATGAAACGCATTGGCACACTGATGTCATTGCTCATGATGTAATTTGCGGATTGGAACTTCTGAGATTGTATAGTGTATTCTACCATAGTGTAGTTGTATATTCTACCAAATATGAGTGTTTTTAAATCCTTTTAACCACTTCAGTACCTTTCACCTCCATCCTGTCCATGCCAATTTTCAGCTTTCAGCACTTTGAATGACAATCAACACTGTACCCATATGAAATTTTTACCAATTGTTTCACACAAAAATAGCTTTCTGGTGGTATTTAATCACCACTGGGTTTTATTTATTTATTGCTAAATAAATTAAAACAATTTGAAAAAAAAAGTGTTTTTCTTCATTTCTGTTATAGCATTTTGCAATTAAATAATCTTTCTTCATAAATTTAGGCCAAATTGTTTTCTGCTACATTTCTTTGGTGAAAATAACCCAAATCAGTGTCTATTATTTAGACTGTAGGAAAGTTATAGAGTCCACAAACTATGGGATAGACTGTATATCTGAAAGTTATCAATCCTGAAGTATTGTCGGCCGGTCTAATTTCTTGAGGCCTGAAAATGCCAGGACCAGGGGCACACTGACAACTCATGGGGCCCCCGGGCAATAGTGGATCATGGGGCCCCTGTGTCCTTGCCCAAACTCAAAAAAGCATATGAAAAAGGTACCAGGGGAATCTCATGGGGCCCCCTACTGACCCTGGGCCCTCGGGCAGTGCCCGAGTTTCCGAATGGTCAGTCCACCCCTGGCCAGGACAGTGCAAATATCACCCAAATGACCTGTTTTTGGAAAGTAGACAGTCCAAGGTATTTAGTAAGAGGCATGACGAGTTTTTTGAAGTTGTAAGTTTTATGTCACAATTTTTTGGAAAAGTAAAGAAAAAATTTTTCCCCCATTTATTTTTTACATACTATCACCAGTACAGTACAGCCTCATTATATAACTGGTTTGGCAGTGATCAGGGACACAAAAAAAACAAAAATTTTAAATTTTTGTTTTTCAATTTTTTAAGTATTTTTTTTTTCATACTGTGACCAGAGCAATACAATGCTAGCATAACAACACTGTACTACTCTGGAGAAGTGATCAGGATTTTTTTTTTATTTCACTGGTATAAGCCACCACTTTTATTAAATTAAATGGATTAATTCAATATTTACTATTCTTAGCTGTGATTGACCCTGTCTGTACCATGTGATCAATGTGATCAACACAACTGTATGCAATGGAATGTCATGTCATCCATTGCGTACAATTGTCATGCGATTTGCTGTGACTGGTCACAGTAATAACATGGTACCGGCAGTGGCCGGTACACTGATTGGTGGCACATCGTGCCGCAGCTCCGCCTGTGGGGTACACGCAAGTTGCGTTCCAGGGAGGACATCATATACTGTCCACCGAGAACGACGAGTGTTCCCCCCAGCCATCATTTGACAATAGGCCATGCGGGAACTTGTTAAATAAAGTGTTTTTTTAACAGAATCACACTATTGGAGCTGTGTTCATTCTTGTTGAGGGATTTGGGAATTTTTTTCTGTTTTCTGCACAATTAACAATTCACAGTGGATGATAATATTAGTATATTATTGGGGGGATCTAGAGAGAATTAATTAATTTTTTTTAGAATTACAAGTACATCACATTCAGTATACAGTGTACTATATATATATATATATATATATATATATATATATACTGTATAAACTATATTGCCAAGTATTGGGACCCCCTCCAAATCATTGGATTCAGGTGTTTCAATCACCTCCATGGCCACAAGTGTATAAAATCAAGCACCTAGGCATGCAGACTGCTTCTACAAACATTTGTGAAGGAATGGCAATCCAGTGGACATATCTGGGTTTAGCGGTTGCCAGGAGAACGGTACTTGCCTGACTGCTTTGTGCCAAGTGTAAAGTTTGGTGGAGGGGGATTGTGGTGTGGGCTTGTTTTTCAGGGGTTGGACTTGGCCCCTTATTTCCAGTGCAGGGAACTCTTAAGGCGTCAGCATACCAAGACATTTTGGACAATTTAATTCTTCCAACTTTGTGGGAAGAGTTTGGGGATGGCCCCTTACTGTTCCAACATGACTGCACACCAGTGCACAAAGCACATTAAGGTCCTGGGGTGGCCTAGCCAGTCTCCAGACCTTAATCCGATTGAAAATCTGTGGAGGGAGCTGAAAATTCGAGTTGCCATATGTCAGCCACCAAACCTTAATGACTTGGAGAGGATCTGTCAAGAGGAGTGGGCCAAAATCCCTCCTGAGATGTGTGCGAACCTGGTGGTCAACTACAGGAAACATCTGACCTCTGTGATTGCCAACAAGGGATTTGCCACCAAGTACTAAGTCATGTTTTGTGAAGGGGATCAAATACTTATTTCCCTCATGAACATGCAGATCAGTCATCATTTGTTAGACATGCATTTCTGCTGAATGTTTTGTTGCTATTCTGTCTCTCAGTGTTACAATACACCGAACATTCGATTTGTAGACTGATCATTTCTTTGTGAGTGGGCGAACATTCAAAATCAGCAGGGGATCAAATATGCATTTCCTTCACTGTAGGTGTGAACCTAGCCTAAGGCTGGCCATAGATTATACAATTTTCCTTTAGCTTTACCTTCAACTGTGTAGTGTAAGGGCCTGCCTGATTGGATACAACTGAAAGTTTTGTTTAGGTTTGACCTCATATTATATGTTTTTTGGTAAATCTAAAGCAAAAATCTCAAGAAAATTGTATAATGTATGGCCAGCCTAATGCCCCTTACACACTAAGAAAATCATACGAACATTTTCATACGAGGACCGATCATCCAATAATTGGATTGTTAGTACACAGCTTTCGAGAGCCGATCACAATTAGTACGACTATATCCGAAGGGACAAGCGCAAAAATGTTTCTCGTGCGATACCAGATCGTATGATTTTCATTTAATCGGCACAGTAGTCGTCCAAAAATACAATACAAATATAAATACAATACATGACATCACTTTCGATATTCTTTTCTTTCATAGGAGAATTTTTGTATCTTTAGTAACCTTTTCACTTTCGATGTGAGACTAGCAGGTGAAAAAAAACGGGCGATCGTTCGTCCGATATTCTCATCGTGTATACGGGGCTTTCGTGTCCGTTTAGTATTCCCGCCAACAGACCTGTAATTATCAGCACAATTTGGAGGATGGGTTTCGGCAGAAGCAGTTGATCTTCTAATCTACATTCAGCGTTGTAGGCTGACCTGCTGCCTTTTAAATAAAGTCAATCGCCTGCGCGGCCGTGCGGGCTCAGGTGAGCGTTGCATTAACCAAATCCTGCCGCGCTTAACATTCTGACCACGTGCAGGTCTGAGAATACAGATGGAGGGACAGAATCCGCTCAATTACCTGCCAGCGAGACGTGGATCTAGACAAAAGATTTCCACTGCCAGCAAAGCACAACCGAGGACCGCCAAGTGAAACTGATGGAGGAATTTAGATTTACACAAATGGAATTTCAGCATGTAGACACGGTAAAAGCAGTCATTACTCTCTTCCTTTTCACTTTCATTGTTAAATATATTGCTTCTAAGTAAGGAATAAATAAGTTGCAGGTCTGTTAAAGGCGTGTATATCTAAATCCAGGAAAATGTCATCAATTGCAGCTTAAAGCGGGACTATAGGGTGCGGAACTTTCCTTTCTTCCAACTGTCCCGTCCCCTGCAGGTGCCAGCATCTCCTCCTGTGTGCCGGTCTTCAGCCATCTTCATTGGCGGGTGCAGGATGACGTCACTTCTTGAGTATGTGCAGGAGCCATTCATACAGCCTAACCTCCGGTTCACACCTATGTGAATTCGTCATCAGACACTGAAAACGATTTTGCGACTTTGCTCAGTGATGTGCGAACTTGGCGCTTTATTTCAAATTTCAGTGTTTTTGGTTTGATTATATTATTGAATTAAATGTATTATTATTATTATATTATTATTTTTTATGATTTATTTATTATATTATAATTTATAATTTCGTGTTTCAAATTGTAATATACCCGGGATGTTTACTAGACTCTTGTTCGGACAGATTTCACTGAGTTATTCCTAAAAATTACAGGCCTACAATAAAAAACCAACATATTTCCATGCAAAAAAATGTACCGCTTTGAGCACAGAAATATGGACATAATCAGACCGCTAGGGGCGGTACTAGTAGGTGGGTAGAGGGTGGAATCAAGGCATAGTGCTCAAAGTTGGGTTGGGGGGTGGAGTCAAGGGGTGACTCAAAAGGGGTGAGTTCCTGTACCTATTCCCTGAGAAAAAAAGTCCTGATGCTAAGCAATGTATAAGGCAACTTTCACACTGCTCTGTTGCAAAAACGCTGTAAAAATGCATATGCATTTTTGCTGAAATTCTGGTGTGTTTTGCACCTGCGAAAAAAGGACATGTGACTCAAAAAACACACTGCGTATGCAGTTTTGATGCCTTTTGCCACGTTTTTGATGCAGTTTCCATTTATGGGGAGGTGCTTTTTTGGTGCCATTTGCAGGACTTTGAAAAACCAATGGACCCACAAGTGACCATTGTGAAAAGTTCCATAGGATTTAATGTTCATGCGTTTTTCTTCTGTTTTTTTAAAATGCAAAAATGGAAGAAAGACTGATCAGTGCAAAAGCAGCCTTAAAGTGTTACTAACCCCAGGACCCTGCATTCACTATATCTGGTCTCCCACAGTACACACAACATGGAAATGCAATTATTTTAGTAAATATAAACTGCTAAATACCTACCTTTCTCATCAGCAGTTGGAGCAGTCTTGTGACTTCAGCAGAGCACTGGTTAAAGCTTGTAGGAGGAGTTTTGTTCTGCTCTAGGAGGATGCAGAACCCCTGACCTGTGCTTGGACAGTGCTGATTGGCCCTGT